CATTGATGACTCGGAGGCATCTGTCCAGGCGTGGCTGAGACACACTTATAAACAGTGCAGGAATGTGATTGCTGCGCCAATTGCGCCAAACTGCACCAAGGGGCTAACTTTGCTACATCCTGCTACATTTCACCGAAATATGGCTAATCCGTGCCAAGCCTGCGCCAAAGAAGCAATTTTGGTCGCCTTTCATAAACGAAACGAAACTGAGAACCGTAATTGAGCATGCGTAAGCTAGGTCGCACAAGACGCCACCCGACACAAAGTACCCTGTATTAATCGTCTATTTGGTCTTGCATGATTTTTCCCCACGTCTCGCGTTTCGTGCACTCGTCGTCTCGGGAATCTCGTCTCGCGTCTTTTTTTTTTTTTAGCGGTAGACACGGGCGTGTGCGGACTCTCAGACGTTAGTGTATCGGGTGCCAAACATGCCGTCATGCTGTGAGACAAAACCACGTTTTTGCGCGGCGGGAGTTACTTTTTGAGCTGAAGCGCTCGCGCGACGTCGTGTGTTGCCGTCCCCACGTCGCTGCAGATATGGCGCTTACTAAACTGAAACGCATCGACATTCCTGCTCTTGTTTAAATCATACGCTGCTATAAAAATCCCTTTCTAACTCAATGACTGCTTGGCAAAGTTTTGATTACTTAGGTTTTTCCTGGTGGGCTTTCTTTCGAGAGGGACCCCGGTACGTGAAAAATCTGCCGCAAAAGAAAGTTGGTGAAGAGAAGTGAGCTAAAGCAAAGAAGGCAATGTCTGCACGCTGAACCCGCACAGCGTGCTTGTTTGTCTCGAGTTCAGTCGTTGCACGAAGCGCTCCAAGAACTTTTTTGACCTTGATTCGCAGTGTCTTGCATCGATACGCTCAGGTTCTTTTTTTCTGTGTGTTTAGCCTGTACCTCGCCTGCCGGCCTGGCAAGCACAAGTCGCTGGACTGTTTATTGTCGTATGCTGGACAGTTACATTTTGCATACTATTTTGGGAACCATGCAGTTGGCGACGGAGCGCGGAGTGGCATGGTTTCGGTTTCGGTCGAACAGCCGTTGTCTCCGCCCGCGCGACGAAGCACGTGTAACTGCAAGCCTGCCGAAGTTGCCCTTACGTGCATGTGAACATCATTGCAACAAAGGCACCAGCCGGGACGCTTGCAATGCGTTGTTTTACGTTTGCTTACTTTTTTTATAAAAATCTGCCACGTCAAGAATTTTGGCGGTGCCAGAAGAGTCCATGTGCGTATGGCAGCTGCCTAATTTGCTGTGCCAAGAGCTGCACAATAGTTTGTGCTCACTTGATTGTCACAAGGGGGGACGCCACAACAGCCACACTTGCATCTGCTCGTTTTCTCTGTCGTAACTTTGCCGGCATCTGACAGCATGACACTTTGGCTCCCGTAACATATTTTGTTGCCACTTTGGGACGGCTTTTGGTCCATGGGAGGTATATAGGGCAGTAAACACCCCAGTCAGAGACATGTCAAGGCGTCCTGCCCTCCAATCCTTCCTAGCTTCGATCCCTTAATCCCCTGATCTAGTTGAAAAGCCAAAATCTCAAGGTGGGGTGATAATTATTGGGTGTCTGGGTCTTGATTTACACTATTTTTGGATGCAGATACCAGACACCCTGAAGCCGGTGGATGATCATCTCGACATGTTCCTTGTGGTGCCAGCAACACTTGCACCGCTGGTGTGGCATTCTTTGCACGCTATGCTGGGATAGTTTTTTAGGAGTGCCATGTCTGGACAGCTTATTCAGAAGCAGGCTGTCGTCGTCGAGATCCATGCTTTTTTTTAACGGATGATGTTGCAGTGCCCACATGGGTGAGTATGACAGAAAGGATTCGAGATTGGAATAGGTCACCAAACAGTATCGCATCATTTTTCGTTAAAATATTTTTCTAACAACACTATTCATTGAAATAAACACTGAAATTCAAAGTTTCTCGTGCAAGAATGGGGAGGCCTGGGGGTGCTCATATGTATCCCCACTACTCTGATGATAGTAGTGTCACCTCTAAATCAACACAGCATAATGGAAGACATATCGCAGTCTAAAACGGGAAAAAATGTTGATATATGTGTCTTGCAGATGCGTATATGACCAAATAGCAAATGATTGCGGTGCCCTGAGCCCTAAGGTATTCAGGACCAATAAACACATGGGGGTGGTAGCAGCTGTCATGGCAAATGGAAGCTGTCAGAATGACATGTTCGGATATTGACACGGATTGTGTCGGAGAGACATGAAATCACAACTGCTGGAGCCACTCCAGTATTGCATGAGCACTTCAGCTCGTATGTTTACACCAAAACTGTTCTGTGCGAGCTTCATAGAACACTCATGGCCAGGCTGCTATTCTCAAATCCCTAATCACCAGTACCAATGCCAAGCTTCGGCAGTGCCAGCAGCACTTTAGACAATGTTAAATTGGGACGTTCTCTGATGAGTTCACATTCCCTGGCACTTGTGTGCAGGAAACCTTTGCAGTAGGTGTGTGCGAATATTGGTTCAAATTGAATAGTATGTTTGCCATAACCTTTGCGCTGCAAAGGGAAGCCGATGCAACCGGCTCTTTTTGCGCTGTTGATGCTAGAAACGACAGTGCACTATTTGATTCAAACCAATATTTGCACACCACTGCTTTACAGGCTTACGAACTGCACTGTTTTGTCCCAAATTAAACAACATCATATGGGGAGCTTTCCACTGTTCTGGATGAATGGCTCCCATTCCCTCTGGCCAGTGCACATAATTTTCATGTGTCCTTCCCAAAACACAGCGATGCAATATTCGTCACCAACACCAATGACAGATATTATCTACAATTGTGAACTGGGACCCTGTGAACTTATTTTATGTATCATGACCACGCAACAGATATTCCTTCCTTGTTAATTCCGGTGTATAACTGGTTGTTGTGTCGATTGGAGTTGGAGGTGCGTTAGGAGAACCAAGGCCTATAGTTTTTTGTTTTTTTTAAACTCTGGAGCATTTAGAATGAATCTACAGCAGTTCACTTCAATTTGGCTTCCATGTCTAGCCCATCCGACATGGACTGCCAAATAGGGATTCTGCTATGTGATAGCTGGAGTGGACGTAACAGAAAAGCAGAGTATGATTACATGCCTAGAGAAATGAAAACAAGTGTAGAATTTGCCAACAGAGTGATAGGCTTTGCTTCTTACATCCAATCTCTGTCATTGTTCCAGGCACTACAGATTTGCAGCCTACAGGCAGTGTGCCCTGTGGCTGTGGAGCCGCTTGGGAAAGAAGAATAGGCGGCCCCTGCCATCCTGTGTGGTCAAGACAATTAGGGGCAGGTACCCTGCTGACGTGTATGCGGGCTACAGGGATGCAGAATAAATTGCGTTGACCTAGAGACCACGCAACCCCCTTCCCTTGTCTCTTCACCCTCCCTGCATGTGTGTGAAGTCGCTCGTAGCCATGAACGGAATCCTCTAAATCACGTGACCTATTATCTACGATATCACGTGACCATAACTATGATCACATGATCGTAGTCAAACCAAAGCCAGTGCACCTACGTCACATTCAGTCACACGACGAAGCCGCCTCGGTGGCTCCGAGGCGAGAGTGCCGGCCTACGGATCCCCATGTGGCGGGTTCGAATCCCGGCCGAGGTGCCTGCAATCTGATGGAGGTATATTGCGGAGAAGGCAGCTTGGTAATCGAGCTTTCGATTGCACGTCAAAAGATCCCCAGGTGGTCGAAATTAATCCTCGGTCCTCCGCTGGGGCGTGCCAGATGCCCGTCGTTGGTTTGGCACGTAAAACCCCCAAATTTGATTTGAGTCGCACGACCGGATTGCTTCATTTTCCTCCTAGAATCCAAAGGCTGTCATCAAAACTACTAGGGCGTGAGAAGTGCTCATTTGGAACACTAACCTAAGCAGTAAAATTTGGCACCCACTAATACCATTTTAAAGTAAAGATAGAAAAAGCACCGATGTCATGTTCGCACTAACAGTGTTGTGCAGTGTACTTCTACTTTCTTCTGGATCTGTTCTTTCAAATGGAAAAACTGCATATAACATGGAAAAATCTGACTGCATGAAGCTACAAGATGCTTCCCTACATCAGCCGTCTGAGCGTGCCGGTGCGATGAGGCGAAGAAAGGCGAATTGCGATTGCTGCAGTTTTCAGAGGGACGTGGTCGATTGTTCCGAGGGTCTCGATGACGACGTGGCTAACATGACAAACAAATGACGTTCTGCTTGGGTGACTATAGTCCACTTCAATGCAGCGAACGACGGAGAGGAGGTCGCCTCCTCTCCAGCATTCGCTCTACTAAAGTGGAAAGAGGTGGGAGGAGCTTCCACTTCGTTCTTGACCTGTCACCGACTATAGGCATGCTGTAAATTGTATTACTTTTTTTATTTAGAATTCATTGCCAACCTACATTTCATTACTGTACTCTCAACATGTGCTCTAGTATAGACTTTTCCAGTCCAAGCCTTCTGCGAAATCCTTTTTTTACTTGGCTGTGGAATGCTTTTTGAGCATGCACAATAGATCCCCTGCATAGAATATTCTATGCCTCCACAGCCCAGTTACCCTGGATTTTTCCTCCCGGTGGTAAATAGGATCTGCTTATATATTTCAGTGAATACTACGATTGTTAGTTTATATTGTCGTTATAATTGGCAAGTATACCCTCACATCATGCAAATACTTTGAGGAAATGGCACAATTTCGGTCGGGTTTTTAGTTAGGCATAGTGCAGTATTCTAGTTACATCGACCCATGTATTGACCTCACAATGCAGAAATCATCCAGGGGATCACAAAATTAGTACTACCATCGGCATCACTTGTTTTCAATTATGAAATTATTTCCTTTTGGTCATGCAAATTTCTACACCTTCCAGGTTCTGGTACCGAGAAGTCAAGTTGTTGGAAAATTAATGCAGTTTATTTCAATCGTAAGGTTAGCGAATGTGCCTCACTTATTTGCAAGCAGGTCAATAATGACAGAAGACAAATGTTGCAGACGGGGGGAAAACCGTGGTGTAGACTGGAAAATGCAGCACTGTTTTTAAATTGCCATAAAAAACTTCTGTTAATATTTCCAGTGTTATATGCAACCACCCCACTTATATTATTGCTGCATTACCAGCCTACCTCCTGGATGAAAACCCCATTTATTGGAAACACGGGCGGGCTGCCCCGCCTCGGTGCAGTCTCCACAGCATGTCCGCTCATCAGCACATGAAAAGAAAGATGGATAAGGCATTGTGTTACAGTCTTCAGAAAAGTGTCGGTTGGGTTCCGAAAATACTTCAATTTTCTAAAACTGCTGCGATGGGCTAAGCTTGTGAACTGGGGATGGGATCTCTGGTGCAGAACTACATGCTATTCAAAATAGCACTTGATCCGCCTTCATTGTGGTGTGCCCACAATGAATATGACAATACGGTCACCGATTTCCTCGATCTTGAAAGCTTGCACAAATTATAGCTAGGATCCTGCGTTCTTGAATTTAATTTTTTTTTTAGCAAAATTAGAGGGTGTTTTTTTTTTGTTTTGTTTTTTTGAACCATCAATTTGGAGCTTCCATTTATGTACGCAAAGTTCGGAGTCTTTCGGCATTTTCGATGAGGCAAATGAAAGGTAGAAAACAGCACTTTGTGAATTTAGTAAAGCAGTATTTTCATATGAGAGCGCCGTATTCATCTACTGTCGTAGAGGGCCTACCTCATTTTTATTATAAGGGGCTACATGGCAACGGAAGTTGACACTGCAGTAAGAGGAGAATTGCAAAAATTGTTCGAAGATTCCGGGAAATATAAAGACTGGTGGGGGACCTAAAAATTGAGTTTTTCAAATGAATCTGAATCAGCAAAATTTTAACGGCTAGTGTTTTTTGGAGTTTATCAGGTTTATCTGAGAACGCAGAACCCTAATTACAGCTAATGGACTGGGAAGAATTATAGCACTGGCCTGTCCTCATCTCCTAATGCCTCTACTGTTGGCACTGATGTGCCAACAATAGAGGTGCACCATGCTGGGCTTGAAAAATCCGGCTTGAGAGGGCAGGTGCCAATGCTTGCATCTCTCCATTACGCTTGATCGTGGCCCTAAAATCAAGCATTATCAATAGAGGAGATCTGCATTTCTGTGAAAAATGATTGCAGACAGATCTAATGTCCTCCTTACTGTCGGTCAGGGTGTCCTAACGGAAAACAATGATCTATTTTGCAGCTCGGCTGTTTTCTCTTGGGTCTGTCTGCTTGCATTCGCCGTACGTTCTGCAAAACAAAGCGGTTATTGCCTACCATGGTAGTTTTCATTAGGACGAGGCTCCTGTGTGCTTACCACTGGCAGCATGAAAGATCCAACCAGGTCTTTGCTCCCTGCTGCTGTCCGCCTCGTTGACAGACTTTCCAACCTACAGTGAAAATTCAGACTGTTGCATAATTACATTCCTAGACATTCCAAGTTGGGCTAGATGGGCGTTCACACTGAAGTTAGTGTCGTCCTCACCGCAAGTTGAGCTGTAGCCTTGAATCTCGCTGTTTTGTGACTTTTCTGTGACTTCGACATTGCCACCGGCTAAAGTTACTTGCCCTCTTTTGAGATAGGCATGCCATGACCAGCTTGATTAGGCCCTAAAATGGAACATTCTCATGAGGAGAGATCTGTATTTCTGTGAAAAATGATTGCGGACAGATCTAATGTCCTCCTTACTGTCGGTCAGGGTGTCCTAACGGAAAACGATGATCCATTTTGCAGCTCGGCTGTTTTCTCCTGGGTCTGTCTGCTTGCATTCGCCGTATGTTCTGCAAAACAAAGCGGTCATTGCCTACCATGGTAGTTTTCATTAGGACGAGGCTCCTGTGTGCTTACCACTGGCAGCATGAAAGATCCAACCAGGTCTTTGCTGCCTGCTGCTGTCCGCCTCGTTGACAGACTTTCCAACCTACAGTGACAATTCAGACGGTTGCATAATTACATTCCTAGACATTCCAAGTTGGGCTAGATGGGCGTTCACACTGAAGTTAGTGTCGTCCTCACCGCAAGTTGAGCTGTAGCCTTGAGTCTCGCTGTTTGGTGACTTTTCTGTGACTCCGACATTGCCACCGGCTAAAGTTCCTTGCCCTGTTTCGAGATAGGCATGCCATGACCAGCTTGATTAGGCCCTAAAATGGAACATTCTCATGAGGAGAGATCTGCATTTCTGTGAAAAATGATTGCAGACAGATCTAACTTCCTCCTTACTGTCGGTCAGGGTGTCCTAATGGAAAATGGTGAACCATTTTGCAGCTCGGCTGTTTTCTCTTGGGTCTGTCTGCTTGCATTCGCCGTACGTCCTGCAAAACAAAGCGGTTGCTTACCATGCAAGGCTGTATTAGGACCAGGGTGTAAGATAGACAGGTGGGGAAACGAGAGCCAAATGAGCGACCGGATTGTGTACCCCTCGGTTTTCTTTTTTTCTGTGGCGCCATCGATGTGGAGCACCGCAAACTCTCACTCCAGGTGGGCGACTGGCTAAACTGACGGAGATGGTTTCTCGTGGATTTTCAATAAAGACTGTCGTGCTCTCTGTTTATTTTGCGCACTCTCCCATAAAGTTCCATGCAAATCCGATTCCGATTTTTTTCCTCTCGCCGCAGCGCCATCTGTTGCAAATCGGGGGTACCCGCAAGCAGACGAGTACACAATCCGGTCACGGCGCTGCGGTAGGCTTCTATGGGCCGTTTCCCCACCTGCTTATCCTGCACCCTGATTAGGACCAAGGTCCTGTGTGCTTACCTGCGGCAGCATGGAAGTCCCGACCAGGGATTTGATGCCGTTACTGGGGACTGTGGCCGAACCTGGACATTCGTGCTGCCACGAGTTCCTCTTTTGGAGGCCTTGTGTAGGCTGCAGTCATCGGTGCCGGGAAGACGACGGTGTTGGCCCTCGATGCAGCAGCCAGGGACCGCCACTGTTTGCTGCTCTCCATTGCCTCCTTGATGAGCTTTCCAACATACTCTAGAATTCAAACCTTTGCATGATAACATTCCTAGGCTCTCTGGACAAGGCATTCACACTGCAGTTAGTGTTATACTCACTGTAAGTGGGATCCGTAATCTCTGGTCGTGCTGTGTGGTGGCCCTTTCGTGCTTTTGATGTTACGACCGACCAACGTGGCTTGCCCTCTCGTGTGACGGCTTGGCAGCGGTTTGAGTTTTCGTTGAAATGGAGGATTGCAAGTCGAGTCCTGCAAGATGGTTACATTTCAGTGATGGTAAAGTGTGCCACTTACAAAGAGTGGTTATTCTGGCATCAATCCAATTCCATTATCTGATCATTAGGAAGAGACTGTCAGGTTTGTCGCATTGTAACCAATGGACTGGATGAAAGTGTCCAAACAAAGGAAATGTGATTGTAAATTGGTTGACTTACTTTGCAAGCATGCCTTCTGGGCTGAAAGCCTGGGACTTCGGGGCGAAGTCTATCAGGACGCTGTGGAACGCCTCCAAAGCATATGTCTGGCCATGTGGAGACATCTGTGCAAGGTCCTTCAGGAGCAGTTTGTTGCCAGTGATGCTCTTGAATTGGTTGTAGGCCTGCGAGTCTGAGGATGATACAAGTTTTAGAAAAACCACCTTCATTTGGAAGAACAAAAACATACTGGGATCCATCCATGGTCGTGTTGGCTCTGGCATGTCACCATGGAGGCACCTTCCATAGGTTCCTTCGTGCCCCGAGTGTTTGTTGATGACATGGTTGTGCATGCTGAGCCAGATGTCGATGAGCAGCTTCTCGTCGCCTCCTGCAGCCCTTGCTGACCAGTACATATGGTTTGTAGCTGTCTGGATCCAGATTTGCAGGTCTTGGCATCCAGCCCGTTTGCTTGCTGCTGTCAGCTTCTTTTTCACACCTAAAATTCAGAGTCGTGTCAGGGAAACCTGCAGCGTGATCGCTGGAAAATAAAGGCTGCACGAATGGCCTGTTAGGATTGCTTACTTTTGGAGATGTGCCATATGTCAAAGAAGTGGTCAATCCCGGGTTCGTGCGTCTTCATGTGCTTTCGTGTGGCAGGGTGACGGTCAGTCACCAACGATCGGATCTTGATACCTGCACCATTAGGTTTCCGAAGATAGCAAAAGAATAAGTGATTATGCCAATTTGAACAGAGTGCCTGAAAGGCCGCCGAGTAGTGATATACATGAACTAAGCATGAACATACCTTTCTCCTTGAAGAATTGCAGCTGCTTGAGGAGGCCCTCCTTCTCCATGTTGACACTGGCCATGGCCTGTTCAGACTAAAAAAAGGTGTGAAATGAATATTTTACCAAAATAGTGCATAGCAGTGAAGTAACTGATGACATAACACAAGAGAAAGATTATGAGATTGTTGCAACTGGTTCACGTAAATTCGACTACTTGCCTCTTTTAGCTGGACCTGGACAGAGTGTAGAATCTTGTTGATTTGCTCGACGTGGACTGTGTACGTCAGGTACTTGGCACAGAACCCAGGGGAGTCAAATCTCCCGTCAGCAGAGATGTCCACCTCTTTGTTCTGCAACTCGTTGAGAAGTTCTTGTTGCTCTTGCAGCCAGACCTGTTCATGCAGATAAATATTGCTTTAGAAAGGCATGGAGCATACTACAATAGTCCCATCTGTTTATGTATGCATAGTGTAGTGTTGTAGAATGAATGACTGAGTGAAAGAAAAAGGAAAGCACAATGCAGCGAGTTTGAATGTGACTTAGATTGTGCTAGGTTGTGATTTGTGTTTTTATGTTTGTGTATTTCATAAAAGAGGCAGCAGGCCGCCCGTTACCTCGAAGCTGCCCTACCCTTTTCCATTCTGACAACCACCCTCTGTCTCTTGACTCTCACGGGGAACCTGACTCACTCAACCCAATGCCAGACAGGGAACTGCCCCAGGATACTACACATAGCAGAAATAAATTAAAGTATCGTGGATTTAGTAGCCCATGGCACATATGTAACATGATGTATAAAATTTTATCTCTTAGCACTATACCATTGAAGTGGCATACTACAAGAAGATATTTATTCATTTAACCGAAGTGTGACTGGGGCTCCAGTTTTGTACCTCATTGGAAAATTGGGTATATGGGAAAAAAATGCAGTTGCAGTGTCCCGGAATATTGCTCACCTTGTGGATTGCAGGTAGAGCGAAGGCCTTCCGATGCTCGTAGAAGCTCGAGTCGGAGATGACCTGCACGTTCATATGGCGTAGCATCCGCAGCGTAGGGGCAATCTTCACTCCAGAGAAGACCAGGTGGCTGGTCAGCAGTATGTTCCCTGCTGGTCTGCCGTTGACGATGGGCTGGCTTTTCCATGTGCGCACGTGCTCCACAGGGCAGATGCTGTAGACTGTGATCAGTGTGCCGGTAGTTTCGATCGTTGTTTGGCACAGTCTTGAGCACTCTTGGCACGTCTTGAAAAGCTCCCTTAGGCAGCTCTCGAACACCAGAAACTGGCGCTCTTCTTCTGGTGGTGGTGGTGGAGCTGATGCACCATGCTCGATTCTGAAATGGGATCATGTGAAGCATTCTTTACAGATTCTATGTGTTTATATGCACGACTTACCTCTCGTAATCCTCGCTGTGAGACGGAGAGTAGGTTGCGTCAGAGTCTGGCATGTTGCTGGGAACAGGAGATGTGCATTCATATGGCACCCCACTGCTACAAGTGGAGAAGGCAGACTCGGGTGGATGCGACTGTGCAGGCACGTCTGCGACAGGGACAGGTGGCACCACTGCAGGGATGTTTGTTTCAGCAGTACAGTCCCTGAGGGTCATTTCTGCCTCGCAGGGTGCAGGCAGTCCAGTTGCCGAGGCCTGAGTCTGCAAAGGGCACTGTTTATTACACATTTCATATTTTTAAAATTAAAGGGTGCAACTCGAGCACTCCACACAATGCCGTCACCGCGGCAAACATCCTTGATGCCTAGTTTTTTAGCTGATGGCAAACATCCATGAATTGTTTTGTAGCCTTTCCATAGCTTAGAATTTCATGCACTCAACCAAAGCTCTCACTGTAATACAAATCTAAGGGATGCCTCACTCTTTATATTTGTTTTTATAACTTACATTACCATCTATATTTTCAGTCTCTAGCTCAGCAACAATAAATGTTCATGTCGCGATATGATGTCACATTACATACATACGTAAAGCTGCAGCTTGACATGTATTTACCAACCACTGAAGGAAATGCAACCAACGAGCACTTATAGCCGCAAGTGGGAAACA